TTGATCCGATGAAAAAATCGAGAAATCGATTAGGCCAATTACCAATTGACGATATCGTGGGATGATGAAATGAAAAAAATGAAGAGAAGATGCTAAAAAGTGAAAGATGCAAGTGGGAGGACCAAAACGCAATTTCTATCATAGTTGATAGTACTATGCGACCGCATAGTACTATCCTCTATGCGGTCGCATAGTACCATATCGAAACCAAAGAGGCTTGAAAAGTTTACTCTATGCAGTCGCATAGAGCAAATATTAAGGAAAAATTTAGTTTCCTTTTTCTTCCGAAACTCTTATGGAAACAACAATTTTAGGGTCCTATAAATACAGAAACTCGACCAGAACGAGGGGGACGCCATTTTTACATATTTTTGGGAGATTTTGAAGGAGAAACGAGTGAGAGAACAAGAGAACAATATCGCGCCAATTGAAGATCGGATTGAAGATTGATTCGGGTGATGTCGTTTCTTCAAATATTTTTAATTTTTGTTCTTTTTAGCATGTTAGGCTAGATTTATCACTACTAGGAGATCGATGAACCTTGTAATACTACGTTTAATTGTTGTTTTGGATTCTTGACGTATTTGAACACTAATTCCGGAATTGATTGATTTATTTCGTTTTTATTTTCATATAACTATTGTGCACGTAATTATATGATTGTGGTGACCTATTTTATGCATTCGAAAGAAGGAAAATAGGTTCGACATAATATAAATTATCATAGGGTCGGATAGAGGATAGAAATATACCTCTATGCCTTGTGTGAATCATTGAATATTCGTGATTTTATAATGCATGTCGGTATATTAGTATTCGTCATAGAAATATAATCGAATCATATATTGGGATAGGTTAGATATTGCTCGAGAGAGATTGCTAAATTAAAATAGGAATATCGATTCATCTTTTGTGGAATTGTGTGTCAAATTTGCATAATTGACAATTGAACGAGTATTGCTTGGGGATTCGTGATCCTAGTGTGTTAGAACATCCATTTATTCTATAAAATTCTAGTTAAATTGCATCCAAGTTACTTTGAACTTAGTATAATCCCTCATCCATAATTGTATCAACGATTACATTTTGTTAGTTAAAATACAAAATCGCAATTTTATCTGTCTTTCTCTTATCTTTCCTATTCCGGCCTTATCTATCTTCTTCCCCGATCAACTCTCCTTGTTCGAACAATTGTGTGGATTTTTTCTTGATGACTGGTAGATGCGCCATCGACGATGGAATTCAATTTCTTGTCAGAACTCCTTATAATGGCCATTATACATAGGCACAATTCACAAGCCCTTGCACCGCTTCGCTATTCTAGAAAAGATAACTACTTGGGAGGGTTTTGAAGACTTGAATACGATACTTTCAACTAATGAAATATGGAGTTCAATCGTGAATGAAAAATGACGGGGAGATATTTGCGGATTCAGTTATGAATAAATTTGGTATTATACATTTGAAGAGAGGGTGTCAAAACATTTAGCAGTTTCTCTCTCCAATTTAACGTGAATTGTCGGTATCATTTAAGTTTCTTTTTTCAATAATCAGGTTTTAATTATTATTTTATTATGTTGTAAATAAATACAATTCTGAAATTGGAATACTAAAAGATGCCTAGGCTGTAATTTCCTCTTAAAAATATTAGTTAATACCCGTCAAACTAATGAGAACTAAAATTTCCGCAATTACGCCTAAGATCCCGAAAGCCCAAAAAAGTCCAAAAATTGATTTTGTCATTGTTTTGAGTTTTTGTAAATTTTTTAATATTGTCACTTCTTTCTTTTTTTTTTGGGTAATTAGCACAAAACATCCCTACCTTTCGATGTTTTTGTGGAAAACGTCCCTACCTTTTATTTTTTGACGGATTACATCCTTACCTTTACCTTTTTTTGCGCAAAACGTCCTTCTGTCAACTCTCCGTTAAAATGCTCCGTTAAATCAAAAAGGTAATTAGCACAAAAGGTCCCTACCTTTCAAAGTTATTGTGCAAAACGTCCCTACCTTTTATTTTTTAGCATAATTAGCAGAAAAGGTCCCTACCTTTCAATATTATTGGGGTAATTAGCACAAAACATCCCTACCTTTCGATGTTTTTGTGGAAAACGTCCCTACCTTTTATTTTTTGACGGATTACATCCTTACCTTTACCTTTTTTTGCTCAAAACGTCCTTCTGTCAACTCTCCGTTAAAATGTTCCATTAAATTAAAAAGGTAATTAGCACAAAAGGTCCCTACCTTTCAAAGTTATTGTGCAAAACGTCCCTACATTTTATTTTTTAGCATAATTAGCAGAAAAGGTCCCTACCTTTCAATATTATTGTGCAAAACGTCCTTACCTTTCATTTTTAGCATTTTTACCCCTACATTTCACCTTTCATTGCGCAAAAGGTAATTTTCATCCATTTTTTCAATAAAATGACGATTTTACACTCTTATTGAAATAAAACAAAAAGAAAAGAAAAAAATAATTAATTAATTGCAATCATAGTTCTAAATCTTTCAAAACATTACAGATAAATCCTAAATTCTCCACTACCGCCACTTTCCCAACCCCACCAAGCCACCACCTATAGATCCATATAGCACCACTTTTCGACCACAACACCTATCGGACTCCACCACCACCAGTGTCGCCTCACTCTCCCCAATATCCTCCTCCATAGTATTGGTCACTAATCTGTCTGAAACAACTACATTTACGGTGGTGGAGTCCGGTGGGCATGGTGGCCGAAAGGTGGTATTATGTGGATTTATAGTTGACAGCTTGATAGGTTGTGAAAATTGTGGTGGTTGAGAATTTATGATTTATCTGTAATGTTTTGAAAGATTTAGAACTATGATTGCAATTAATTAATTATTTTTTTCTTTTCTTTTTGTTTTATTTTAATAGGAAGGTAATATCGTCATTTTATT